CACAATCGTATTCAGACATTTTAAACATTCTCCTAGTAATAACTCCAAACTTCTTGGCCTTTTGGCTAAGATCAAAGGTGGTATCTGTTCTCAGCTTCTCCCCCGGCCTTCTGCCCACTGGTTTAGCGAGGCGGATACTGCCCGAGGCACCCGAGGGACGGAGAAATCTGCCCCTCTTTTCTATCGTGTGGACGGTCATCGTGCGTTATAAAAAAAACAAACAACTCCTAACGTAAGGAGCTTCGTTAATTGAACTGGCCGTTTTCGTCAAGTATTTTTGCAAAGTCCAGATGCATGCACATCTACGTACGGTCCCTTAACACTAAACAAGCGCAAGCTGGGCGTACGGTCCCCTAGCGCCAAACACTATGGGGGCCTACGGTCCCCTAGCGCCAAGCGCTATTGGGGAGTACGGTCCCCTTAACTAACAATAGCCTTTTAAAAATATTCTACAAAGAAAAATTTCCCTCTGGGATATTGAAGTATTATCTTATCTTATCTTATCTTATCTTATCTTATCTTATCTTATCTTATCTTATCTTATGACACTGACCAAGAGGACCACACTTGTCTCTTCTCCTCTACAATAAGTTGTCGTCTTGGGCAAGTTCGACTGTATACAAATGTATACATGGCCTTACGTGTTACAGGTTGGGAGACATATTCATGCTTCGAATGGGCAGCACTAACATGGTGTTTCTGAACGGCCATGACGTACTGAAGGAGGCGCTGGTCAAAAAAGCAGACGTGTTCTCGGACAGACCTCTGGCTGCTCTCAGACATATATTTCCAGATGTACACAGTGGTATGTTCAGTGTGTGTGGTAGGCTACTTGTATACACGAAATCACAACAACAACAGCAACAATAACTACTACAACAACTACAACAACAACAACAACTGTTACAACAACAACAACAACAAGATGCGGTGAGGTTTGGTACAGACACACACATACACACACACACACACACACACACACACACACACACACGCACTCATACACACACACGCACATATGCACCCAAAACACACTCACACATATACACACATACACACACACACACACACACACAAACACACACAAACATACACACACAAAACACACTAACACATTTGACTTAAACGGATGTTCCCATGAGCACCACAATATACACGACAGTAATCTCTAACCCCATGTCCCAAATGCCAGGTATACTAGCGGCGTCTGGCCCCAACTGGAAGGAACAAAGGACCACTTCCCTGGCCATTCTCCGAGAGTTTGGGATGGGCAAAAATATACTGGCGGACAAGATAGCTGAAGAGGTTGTTATTGTTGTTGTTGTTGTTGTTGTTTCTATTGTTGTTACTGTTGTAATGACAGCAGTTTTGTCGTTGTTGTTATTGTTGCTGTTCTTGTTCTTATTCTTGTTTTTGTTCTTGTTCTTCTTGGTGTTGTTACAATAATGGCAGTTTTGTTGTTGTTGTTGTTGCTGCTGCTGCTGCTGCTGCTGCTGCTGCTGCTGCTGCTGCTGCTGCTGCTGCTGTTGTTACTGCAATAATACGCACTCTTGTCCATATCAAGTTCAGATTTAGTAACCGACAAAGCAAAATAGCCACAGACATGAAACATCCCTTAGATAAAATCACATTGTCTGCTCCCACTGTTTGATTTGTTTGTTGGTGGGCATTTCTTCGCTTATAGACGGGAAAAACGGAATGTTTTTCTGGGTATGTTTTCTGTCTCGTCAGTAATCGGAACTAAACTCGTCACGTACAGAATTTGCACAAAGTACTTTTTTTTAAATGACTGCGTTTGATACGCTTTTAGTATGTCTTCCAAATGTTCTGATCATTTAAAGTTGAAATAAATTAATTAATAATGAATTTCAGTGTTGTCATTGTAAGAACTTATAGTCCAAATGTCCCATCAGTTACCGTGGAATAGCACTTATGGGCATAGGAGAGACTGGGTTCTCTGCTGGCGCTTTGGCAGGCATGGGCAAACAAGGGAATCCGAGCCTCATCGGGCCCGTTAGCAATTTAAATTCACTCGGGTCCGTGAGTTAGCCCAGTAACATAATTAATAATTTATGAGGCCCGCAGTGAGTTATATTGGTTACAAAAAGCAATGTCGTCCATTTCGAAAATTTAAATTAATCGTTTACGCCCAGCTGGAAGCAATATATCTAATATTTTATCTGATGAAATGTCTTTGGATGACATATTATGCTGTATTATCAGTTTGGGTTTCACTTATGAGAGCTTGGGTATTTCAAATTAGTCACCAAGTTTTCTCCAACCTTGGCCCCCAAGATATTTGGAATCCCTTGATCTGTCCCGCAACTTGGACACACTATTGCCCACGCCTGCTCTAGAGGGAGACTTAATTTTGATTTGAAAAGCCACAGGCAAAATGTTTGTAAAACACGAAATTAAACAGATTATTAATCATTGTTAAATCATGTGGGGTAAAAGACCACGTCGAAGACCACGTGGAACCTGGAGAAGAATCACAGAAATTGATGTACAGAAAAGTGGGAAGACATGGATAACATCAAGAGGCTAGCCCGTGATAGAGAAAGGTGGACAGTGTTTGTCCGTGGCCTATACCCTGGTGCAGAGTGAGAAAGGCAATGATGATGATGATGATTGCTTGCCTGTGATCTTTCTTCTACACGGTCCCATAAAGATAATTTGCAGAAAAAACTTCCTCTCATGACTTAATGCCTCTTATGTGGCGTAGTAGAGAGCTGCAAGTCTGTCTCCACATCTACGTCACATGGGTGGTATTTCAGACTAGAGTCGTATCTAAGGAAGCTGCCAGGTCAAATTATAACAATATTGAACCTCTCGAATAGCTTTCACCACAGGTCAAAATGGTGCATTTCAAGAAATCCCACAAGTGTCTTTGGTGTAGCGTTATGCGCTTCGATATTGCACGTTTGAGACCTCGATTCGATTCCCAAGGGGGGAGAATTTTAATTGAGTATCTCGAGTCTTTGTTCTGTGATGTTGTATCCCTCTCAGTCGACGCTGGCCCTGACAGGCAGAGTCAGAATCCCCTAAATGATCATAAGGTATGTGGATTGGGGCGTAAACAGACATACAAGACAATAAAGTATATTAGGCCTTAAGCAAGGAGTTTGTTCTGAATCAACGTATGGTCTAATCAATTAGGTGGATGTCTATGTGAAAGAACTGCTCAAACACAAGGGACAGCCCACAGAGCTGAGGTCAATCACCAACATGAGTGTGTCGAATGTCATCTGCGCCATTATCTTTGGCAGGCGGTACGAACTGGACGACAAGCAGTTTGCCAAAATGATGTACATCTTCAACGAATTGGTAAATAATATTGTGGGTTTTGGGTATGTTTTTGTGTGCATACCTCATGATACCTGTATGTATGTGTGTGTGTGCGTGTGTGTATGTGTGTGTGTGTGTGTGTGTGTGTGTGTGTGTGTGTGTGTGTGTGTGTGTGTGTGTGTG